AAAATAAACGGAGGCAACCAGAACGAGACAGGAATCGTGACGACGGTCCATCGCCTGAAACCAGAACAAGAACCTCCATCATGTGGACCTGTCTACTTCTTGGAATTCAGCATTTAGACGCCCCCTTCTTAAAAAGAGGAAGAAGAAAAAATCAACTTCTTCAAAATGGTCAAAAAACAATTATTGTTTGTTTCCTAAAAATAAACAGAAGTTGTGGAATATTTCTGACGTCAGAGGGTTTCATGACGCGTCTGTAGTTACACAACCGTGTTTGTTCAGAGTCGTCACGCCAAGGCCTTAACTCAGGTCTGTCACCTGAGTCACAGCCAGAACCAGGACCAGACCTCCAGCACCGTGGCTGAGTGGTTAGAACAGTTGTCCTCCAATGGGAGAGTTGGGGGTTTGATTCCACCAGCAGTCACATGCTGAAGTGTCCCTGGGCAAGACACTGAACCCCTCACTGTCTCCAATGTGCGTCCATCGGTGTCTGAATGTGATAAAGCTCTGGTTGGTCTCTACAGATTCAGCTTTGGAGAGATGCAGTAGAGCGATGTGTGGAGGTAAATGAGACACCGGTCGTGTCTTTACTAGACAGAAAGGCGATGTATAAGTATTTACCATTTTCATTAATTTCATCCGTCTGTCGACTAACACAGAGCTAACAGGAGGGATAACTGGGTCAGAACCTCAGGACCGGAGTCCCTCAGGGAAGTTGTTAGTGTCAAACTCTGGGTCAGAACCTCTGAACCGGAGTCCCTCAGGGAGGACGTCTCAAAGTCAAACTCTGGGTCAGAACCTCAGGACCAGGGTCTGTCAGGACCGCAGCAGAATGTTCATCTTCATAAACTACAGATAAATTCAGGAACTTTAAAGTTCTGTTTTCATTTGAAGAAAATGGAATTGTTTCTGTTTCTGCAGCTTCTTCAGTCAGTTTAAATAAAAGATGTGAATCGGAACATTTTTAACAAAAGAAATGGAGTAAATCTTAAGCTGAAGAGCTGACCCGGTTCAGATGGGGCCAGAACCAGAAGCCAGCAGAGCTCAGAGTCATGAAGTTCCTCCTGAGGGCGCGGCAGACTGAACAACCTGTGGTTTGCTCTTTTGTTCTAGAGGAATTTACTGAACGGATCAAAGCAGAACCTGTCTGAGGCCCGACGGGTTCACAACAGAACCTGGGTCAACAAGAATCCAGGGCCACGCACGAGATCCAGTCAAGAAGTCAGCAACTATTTACTGTCTGTTTGATTTGTCTTCTGCATGTTTTAGAGAGTTACAAAGTCCTGGTTCTGAAAAACCCAGTGGTTCTGAAGGATCCAGACCTGCTCTGTTTTAAAACTGTCACAACTTCATCATCTGTTCTTGTGTCTCCGGCTGATTTTCACGTTTAAAACCCATCATCTCTGCAGAACGAGCTACATTTACACAACAAACAAACAAACAAACAAACAAACAAACAAACAAACAAACAAACAAACAAACAGGAAGTCTGTGTGCCGGATGGATGATCATGTGACATTTTCTGAGCTGCCTGTCTGCAGACTAACTCATCAGCGTGCTGCCACCTGCTGGTCAGAATCTGCAACTACAACCAAACATTTATATTTTTATTATTTATTTTTAGAGCACAAACAATAACAACAAACAAACAAAAAGGTTCTTATTTACAGAAAAACACCAGGTGGGTACAGACTTCTGAACTCCTAAACTTAAATAAAGTATTTTAACTGAACAGAGATCATCTGAGTAGGTTTAGATGGTGCTGAAACTTGAGCTGTGCAGCTGCAGCATCTTCTCATGCAGTTTGCTGGTTCTGCTGCAGATGAGCAGAACCTGTCTGAAAACTGGGTCACAACCCTGTTCTCACTGAACAGGAGGGAGGGGGAGGAGGTGCGAAGCCAGGGAGAAAAGTCGACAGGAAGGAGGTGTGAAGGAGGACAAATCTGACCGAGGAGCAGTTATTGTAGAAAATAACTCGTCAGTCTGAGAGCGGAGAGGATTGTGGGTAAGAGTTGTGGACAAAGACAGGAAAGGACAAGATGGAGACAAAGTCTTTGACACAAGAAGGACAAATATTTACAGAAGCATCTGAAGAATTGTGAAAAAGTTCTAATTATTTTATGACTATTATTATTACTATTAATTACCACTACTATTACTATAACTATTACAACTATTATTATAACTATTACTACTATTACTATTACTATTACTATTTTACTACTATCAGTGTTGTATAAAGTACCTCAAAGTGATACTTCAGTGAAAGTACAAGTATCTTACCATAAAATTACTTTGGTAAAAGTTAAAGTCTCCTTTAAAATTATTACTTAAGTAAAAGTCTTAAAGTATCGGACATTTAATGTATTTTTGTATCAAAAGTAAATTTCTCTTCTACAAAGTAAAATGTACTTAAAGTAAGAGTAATAAGTAAAAGTAAATGTTTAGAATTTCCAAAACAACATTTATTGGGTGCAATATCCAGTGACAAAAACTTGGAAAGTTTGAACTGAACGATGAAAGATTGATTTTTAAATTGTCTGATTCTATTGAAGTATTCAACCTTTATTAACCTTTATTAACCTTTATTAACCTTTATCAACCTTTATTAACCTTTATTAACCTTTATCAACCTTTATTAACCTTTATTAACCTTTATCAACCTTTATCAACCTTTATTAACCTTTATCAACCTTTATTAACCTTTATTAACCTTTATCAACCTTTATTAACCTTTATCAACCTTTATCAACCTTTATTAACCTTTATTAACAAAGCCGTTAGAAAGCCCACATTGTTGTGTAGTTACCTTGTTTAATGAGCTAGGTTCTGTTTGGTTATGGCTTGTTTCTTTTGAATAATACAGGATATATTATAGGATAATATAATAGCACAGAAACTAATAGTTCCTTTGCTCTTGAATCAGTTCATGTCCTGGAGAAAACCAAACTTTTCCTTAGTAGCAGCTACCGTCATTTTCACACCTGTCAGTGTCTCCACCGTGAGTCATCAAAGATCTGTTGTAATGACTGATACCTGCTGTCACAGCGGGGGCTGCAGTTTCACACAAGTGTGTGTGTGTGTGGGGGGGGGGG